AAAAAAAAAAACAACGAAAGAAAGAAATGTTGTCAACTTTGGATTTCTATGCTGTTCTCCACTAATGTGAAGGACATGGTGGCTGGTCATCGGGCTGAGGCAATCATATATATCCAAGAATCATTTGGCATCGCCCCATTTGTTCGAATTAAAAGACAAGAATGCCACAAAATCAGAAAGTTATAATTTGACAAGTAGTAGGATTGAAGAAAAACATGGTTGGCAAGAAGCCTGTAGAAGGAAAAATGACAAGAAATGAATCTACTAATGGGCTTGGAGTGCAAGTCGCCTCGCTAGGCTTAAGATGGAGTATTTGCCGAAGTCCAAATAAGAAGCCAACACCTAACAATTTGCAGGACACAAAAACCGAAAGGGCCTTGCACTTTGATGGACTCTATGAGAGCAGAAGCTCCAATCCAAATGGTTCTCTTCGATGTTGCAAATTTGGAATTTATAACTTGAAACAGAGGTGAAAAATTACAGTCGGAGAAGTAGAAAATAGAATAGGGTGGGTGACCCATGTAACCAAATTCTAGATTCTTTCACATCTTTAAAGGAAAATAATCCACTTACAAATTTTCATTCTCATATCCGGATATTAGATTTAGTGAATAACATCTCAATTGTTTTTCGATTTCCAAACAGATCTTTTGTTTTTATTGATACCCCAATGTCTTTGCGAGTTGCTTTCATTTCAGTAGTATTTCACTATGAAACAGGCTTTGGATTTGCAGCTGTTCATAAATTCTAAGACGACCATGAACTAGACATGATTTCCAAACTATCCATCAATGATCTCCATAATTCCAAATCCACCAAACTCCCTGGCCCCAGTTTGATAGCAGAGATCAGTATTGATTGCCTGCTTTTGCTAATTTCCCACCAGACTTGCAGTGTAACCGGGCCTATGTACCATCACAACCTTCAATAAAAATCACGACCTGACAAGTTCCGAGAGGACATAGTAACCCCATCAATAAATTCCAAGAAACCAAGCCACATAAAAATATATGTACCACCCTGCATCGAACAACCTGTTTAATTTTAAGTCCAATAAATGTCCAGCGGAGAGCTGCCCCAATGTTTCATACTGTGCGTCTGCCAATCTTATGAGATGCGTGACATATATATAAATGTAGAAGCTCACCTACTAATAAACCAACCACGTACATATGATTTTTTAAAGAATCAATTAGGTGTTCTCCTACTATTATTCTTAATCCATCATTTTCACTAATTAAAGTAATGGATTTTTTTCATAAACTAACGGAATTAAACTCTAATTTTAATTTGGTGAACAACATTTTAATATATAAGCTATATAGTGTTTGTCCTTGATTAAGTTGTGGATTCAAATCACTTCTATTTTTTTTTTCATGTTCAACTTGTTTGGATTCTAACCATATAATCATAGGTTGTTAAATAAATTAGACCTCAATTAGAAATTTTGTACAAATGAAATTTTTGAGCACAAAGCATTTACGTTCAATCCAAATTAAATTTAAAATAACATAATATTTTAAAAAGTTTTTGAACTACTTACAAAAATTTAAATAAATTTTTTTACTTCATCTAATTAAATTCTTATATTTTGTTTTCCTAC